CATAATTAGGGAGAAATAGGAAGTTTGTAGTTTCTACTCAGGCCCATTAGATCAGTATAAAATTATTATATGCATCTGTAGAAAAAAAATCTTGGAATTTTAAAGAAAATTTTATTAGAAACAGCTAAAATGGTCTCCAATAACCTAACTCTGGGACATTTATCTTCAGCATTATTCAAGCACATCTGAAATCCATTACAGCCCCCCAGCTGGCTTCAGGAACCTCTGTGTGCCTCCAGCCATCCCCACAGCAAATTGCCTCAGCTGTGGTCAAAAATCGAACTTTCTCAGTTGCCTTGATTGACCTAGAAATGTTTTCTGTAATTTGCCATTGTCTGAAAGGGAAACATTTGTTAGAAAATATATTTTTTTAACTTTGTCTTATTAAAGTGGAGCCAAGAAATGTTCTCCATTATTTAGACACCAGAAGAAAAACAACAAATACTTTGTAAATAAATGGAATCTCCAAAACAAAGTCAAAGAAAAATCACTGCTAGCCAGTATCTAGAGACACAAAGGGAAGGGTGATTTGATTTTTAATCTTTGAATACCAGAAAGAAGCCATCTATAAGAACTGTATATACAGCAATAGCAGGTAACATTTACCTAAACATTGATAATGTGAAGATATTGTACTAGGGACCTGAAATAGAAATTCATGCACGATGAGGGTAAGGATAAAAGCAGAAATGTAAAGAAATTATTACAGTTTATTTAAGAGTGTTATAATAAAGATGTGTGTAAGATGTTCCAGAAAGTCAACAGGGAAAGCCAGTGATTTTTTTCCTAGGAATGAAGGAACAGGGCAAAGAAATTGAGAAGCATGAATGGCAGGAGAGGATGGAGGCAAAAATATCCAGAGGGAATGACAATATGATAATCCTTCATAAAAGGCAGAAAAATAGAGGAAGTGTGCTCCATAAAAAGAAACTGACCAAGTTTTACATTGATGATCATGCATCTCAAATGGGCACTTAAAGCCTCCTGGCAATTCAACTATGTTTTTTCAGTGCATTCACTCAATTTCTAAGATGACCAGTCATACCTTTTTTCTCTCCTCACGTATCCCATGTTGGCCTGGCACAGTAGCTCATGCCTATAATCCCAGCACTTTGGGAGGCTGAAGTGAAAGGATCACTTGAGGCTAGGAGTTCAAATCAAGACCAGCCTGAGCAACATGGCAAGACCCTGTCTCTACAAAGAAATTTTAAAATTAGCCAAGTATAGTGGTGCATGCCTGTAGCCCGAGCTACTCGGGAGGCTGAGGGCAGGAGGATCAATCGAGCTGAGGAGTTCAAGCCTGCAGTGCACTGACTGGACCACTGCTCTCCAGCCTGGGCAACAGAGCAAGACATTGTCTCCTAAAAAAAAAAAAAAAAAAAAAAAAAAAAAAAAAAAAAAAAAAAAAAAAAAAAAAAAAAAATTAAAGAAAAAATATCCCATGCATGGGCCCTGTGCTCTGTTTCAGATGATAACCCTGCTTCCTTTTTCACTGAGAAAGCAGAAGCAATCAGAATAGGCATTGACATGCACCGGCTACCACATCTACTGACACATTGGTATGTGTGCCTTGTTCTTAGCAGTCTAGGGCTGTGGATGACCTGTTAGCTTCTGAGCTGAGGCCACACCCTTCACTTGCGCAGTAGATCTCATCCGTCTTGCCAACTCAAGAACAACATTGCTTCAACAATTGTTTCCTCTCTCTCCTGTATCTTCAATTCCCTTTCTCTACTCAGTCATTCATACCAGCCTACAAAAATGCTAGGTCTTAAAACCCTCATTTACCCCAGCTACCATTACATATCTCTGCCTTTCTTTACTACAAAACATCTATAACGGCTTGCCTATCCATGGCGGCTCCAATTCTGCCCTTCCCATCCTCTCTTGGGTGCATTCCTATCAGGCTTTCCTCCCAACCACTCTGCTGAAGCAGCTTTCATAAACATCTTCAGTTCATTTCAATCACTTACACTCTATTCCACACACCCCCTGCACTACCACCATTTGACACCCATATATTTATTTGCTCATTTGTTGTCAACTAACTAGGCTGTACATTCCATGCACTCTATCCCAAGAGCCCAGAATGTTCCTTGGTACACAACAGGTACCCAATAAATATCTGTTAAATGAGTGAGAGAATGAATTAACATGGCTAAGATCATGCAACTGTCAAGTTGGGGAAAAGAAATTCAAACTCAGATATATTGGGCTTTAAAATCACGTGCCCCAAAGGTCCATGCTACAGCCTGGGCCTCTGATGGGGGTGACTGAAAGTAGTAGTATCATTAGTAAAGTCCACAATAGAATAAAAAGAAAGGATTTGGGATGGGGAGTGTGAAATTGTTTAATATTTTGCAAAAAAAGCATAACATTAGACATTGCCCGCTTACTCAGAGGTGAGTAATCTGGCAGTCTCAGATATCTACTACACAATCCAGAATGAGAAATGGAACAACCACAGCCTCCAAATGACCTAAACAGATGTCACAAAGTCCCAGCTTAGCCAGGCAGAGCTTAGCAGCCTCTCTCAGAGCCATAAGTTTTAGGGCGAGGTATTCCAGCCACAGAGACTTAGAAGCTACCAACTATGAGAAAGAACGAGAGAGAGCACACACCCACACACATACGCACACAATTTCCAAAGGCCTTTGCAAGAACTGAAATGACCTGGTCTAGTTTCGTTCACCCTTAACACAGCTCTTCACATCTCAATAGCCTTTTACACATCAGCAGTGATTCTACAATGCAGCAGAATACAGGGTAACACAAGTCAATGTCATTCAGAACAAAGATCTGAGGTTGTAAAGATAAGACAAACTTGTATTCACCATCTTCTTTTTAAGAAGACAGACAGATAATGCATATATTCCAGCAAGATACCCGTAGAATCTGGTCACAAGTATTTAAAACTGGAATTGAGAAGGTAAAAATTTTGGATAAATATCCATTTAATAAAAGATCTCAATTCCCAATCATGCTGGATAAATGGGACACTAGAGTACTTCTCTAAAGAATAAAAAAATCAATAATGGACTTAATTTTTATATGCTTGACTCATGCCAGATGTATTTGAGAGGTAATATATATCACAACTCTGGCATTGAGAAAGTAACACCTGATGTCAGCAATCTAATGCAAGCTTCTATTTGCTGGCCCAGAAGATTGGAGATTACTTACTTTATTAGTTCTGTGATCTTTTAAAGAAAGAAAACAGTTTTGTGTGTAACTAAATATGCTTTTTCCAAGCTAGAGACTGGTTTTTCTAAGATTAGCAGTGGAATATTCTCAAAACTGGAAATAAACTAGCAGTACCCAGTGAAATTACAATAATCAGGCTGTTAATTCTGCAGACCAGAAAAAGAAAGAAATGAGAACTTAATATTAAAACTTACCAATTTTTTCCACTCTTATTAGCACTTCTCTTCTCAGATTTCCTTGCTGGTATTAACCATAGTGTAATATATTGGCGCTTGTTTTTGTCACACATGTGAAGATTTATTTAACTTGAAAGTCCTTCCCAGTTCATGTGGATTGGAACCGTAACTAAACACCTTGTCACGTGTTTCTTATTGTGGATAGACATACATAGCTTTGCAAAGAATTATTATTCCAGTGTAGATATTTTTCCCAGACTTTCAAAAGATAGACTATACATCTTGAGAAACTAAAAAACTTGTTTATGATTTTTAATCAGCAAAAGAATGTATTCAAATATAGGACATGAAAAACAGTTCCTTCTCTGGAAAATAAGAAAACAAAGCATTTGAAAATCAATTTCTCTTTTTCTTTGAGCTAGATTTAAGGTCTATGGTTTAAAAAAGTACGACACAAAATAAAAGGCTTTTTTTCTGTACTCAGTAGTCTAAGTACCATATGACATACTTTAAAAATAGAAATTTCTGCTTTTGAGACGAATTGAAAGTGTTTCCTCGATGTCATTAGGACCATCACTCTGGCCAAATCTTTTAAAAGTTCCTATGGTGAAACCCCGTCTCTACTAAAAATACAAAAAATTAGCTGGGCATGGTGGCGCATGCCTGTAATCCCAGCGACTCAGGAGGCTGGGGCAGGAGAATTGCCTGAACCTGGGAGACGGAGGTTGCAGTGAGCAGAGATGGTGCCATTGCACTCCAGCCTGGGTAACAAGAGCAAAACTCCGTCTCAAAAAAAAAAAAAAAAAAAAAAAGTTCCTATGATATCCAAACATATGAAACTCAAGGCAATACTGTAGGCTTAATTCTTATAATATATGAGTTATATATAAGCAAAAAGATGAGTTTGAATTCTCCATTCTACCTACTGTCCTAGTGACCTTAAGCTATTATCTTCTATGCATCTGTGTTATCTTCTATGAACCTGATTGCTCATCTGCAAAAATGAGATAAAAGTATAATGTGTTTCATACGGTTACTGAAAGAATTAAATCAGATAATGCATGTAAACCACCTTACACAGAGTAAATGTTCAAACATTATTATAAACGATTAGAATTGTGAATATGATAGAGATCCCAATAAGTAACATGGCTCACTGTGAATGCATCTGATTTCTCTTGCCAGTACCACTTACCTGCCTGGGACATAGTCACCCAATATTTCCTTCTAAAATATTTTATAATGCCCTGACAAAGTGACAAATTTTAACCTAGATCCATGTTCTTTAATGACAAGAAATGTAATGGTTCCTCTCTATTCTCTTTGATCTAACATCATTTCTTTCCAATATTCAGAAACAACAAGAGGAGGAAAGAATGAGAACGCTTGGTCATGAACAGGAGAATGTATTTGATGATTTGGAAATTGGGGAGGATGAGACTTACTCTTGGGAGAGTTGAAATAGGGGTAACATAAAGTGGCATATGAAGAACATTCAGCCTAAGTGAGAAGAAACAAATCCCAATTTATGTCAATCATTGGCATATAATATAAAGGCCAGTCTAGCAGCTACTTTTTACCCTTACAACATGTCATTGTGCCTTGAGTCTTTTCTGTCTCTTTAAGGCAAAGTCCTTTCATGTGCTAGCTGTATTTAAAAAGCAACAGTGAACAGAAAGCAAAATTAACCCAGTATACTATGAACCAAGGAATCATGACAACAAAGAAAGTAACAGCTATACTGCTGGAAGACTGGAAAGGCATCTCCAGGTAAGTTCAGTAGTTCCTGAACTACTTTGTAGCCTTCATCCAAGTCCTGTCCAAAAAGGAAGCTTCAGTGTCTTTTGTTTTCATATCAGACTTGATAAGTATGTTTTGTCAAGTATTATCAATGGCTGACTTCAACATTAGAAAACGTTATTCTTCACACCAAAAAGAACCTGCAAAACCCCTTCTTCGTTGTACTTCCTCATCCTCCATAATTACGCCCTTTCACCTCTGTTTTTTTCTCTCTTCTTCTTCTCCTTTTACTGCAGGATTTATAAAATCCTCTGAAACATGTTGTTTCCAGATGTAGGTCCCAAGTGCCCCATCATTTACTTCCTGTCCAAGCACTGAGCAGATGGAATTACACAAGTTGGGCTGTATGAAACCACCCTCGAATGCCTTCGTTAAACTTCAGGATTTTAAAGAGTATGTCTAGTTCCTGGCAGGGACCTTTCCATACTTATACCCCCAAAGCTGTAAATTACTACCTCATTAAACTCAATTGTAAATGATTAGGTGTCTGGAATGTACTTTCCTCTCCCTGCAGCCTCCTTAGAGAAATTACTACCTTGCAGGCCTCCCTGCTTAACTGAACACATTATTCAAGCAATGCAGGGTTTGAGTAGCCCACTCAGGAGGAGGTTTTATTTTTCTTAGGGTATTAAAACTCTATTATCATTTAGTTTCAAAAGTGGAAGATTTGTGATCTTCCATTTCCCATTGAGCAATCACTCTTTTAACAAGAGAAAGCTGTAATCAACAGGCCTTTTTCAAGAATTTAGTTTTCCTTCTGCCACACAGGCAGTTGGAACTACAGAACTTTTGTTTTTTTCTGAACATCAGTGAGATTATTTAACATCTTTTAAAGGTTACAATTGCTGCCATTAATGTCCATAGGTAAAGATCATCTGGGAAATATTTTAAAAAATTTTTAAACAAAGAGCAACAAAGGGTAACTCAAGATTTCAGTACCTATTCACCTAATTCTGAGTTTTATGAGGTTTAATAATAAAAAAAAATTTTTAACTTGAAAAATCTGGAAAGGTCATGGGGAAAGGGTTGGAGAGAGAGAAAGGAGAGGAGGGGCTGTCACATTAAATAAATAATCTAGCCTAAGTTCCCAGCCTGGCTGCCATCATTTTAACAGAAGAGGTAAAATTAATATTCCCCAAGGGACAAAAGCTCTGAAGGTCAGTTCTCTTTCTTATGGATGCTTTTGCCTCTTTAGTTAATTTGTTGGCTTAGAGTTTTAAGATTTCATAATGCTTATTTTTGGGCTTTTTGCAACTTGTTTCACTATAGATTGACTACAGTCAATTAGCTGTGCTTCATTGTGTCTTTGGAATATAGGTAAAGATAGTGACTTACAGGGAGAAAGAAAATGAAGGCTATTAACAAATTGGTTTTGGTAAGATCAAACAAGTGTTAGCAGTACAGTAAATGTTGAAGTAGAGAGCTCTCACCACCTCTGAAGATGATTTTCAGAAAGACATAAGGGAATGGAGCATGGTTAATTCCTAACTCAGCCTATGAATATGTTGTTGGGTATTGCAGATGATCATTAAAGAGATTACTTTATATCTGGACATGGAAGATAAGGAGTGGATCAATAGCTTAGGCGTCCATTTGTCTACATTCATTGTATGTGGAACAAGAAATAGTTCAGATGAACATTGCTAGGCAGGGTGCTCTTTAAATGGGATAATTGGGTATAACTGTAATTGGGTTAATTGGAATAAGGCATAACTTTGTCTTGGTTTCTGGCCTCATACCTTGGAATAGATGGGATTATAGGAAAGAGGTAAAGGAGCTATTTCCCCAAAGAAACAAAGGCACATGGTGTTACCCAGGTGATACGGTGTGATACAGAGAAGGGAGAGTTCAGGCCCCTTCTCTGTGCCCACAACACAGCACAGCTTTGATTTGGTGAAAACTGAAGGAATTGCAGTAACTCTCAGGCACCCTGAGGGTCTGGGGATTTGGAAAATTATGTTTGAGCATTGTCATCAATGTGTAATGGTGGACAGCAGGTGCACTGATGCTCAGGAGATTTCTTGAATGTCAGACTTTAAGAAGGGTGTGCAGGATGGAAGAATGTGAGCTAAAGAAAAATACCAAACGAATAACCAAAGACGACTCGGTTATTTAAAAAACTCAAAAATACTTCATTGTAGGCAACTCATTCCTTGACTAAGCTTTAACTCATGTTTAATGTATCATTTAAAAGCCTATTAGAGAGTAGCACCAGCAAAATGGCAGACTAGAAGGTGCCAGTTTTCATCTCCCCCACAAAAACAAATAACTATATGCCAATGAAATTGCTAAGAGAGAGCTCCAGAGTATAGCTAAAAGGCAGCAGAAACTCAGTGAAGCATAAACACCAAAGATGGCTGTATAGAAAACACCTTGCTTGCACTACTCCATTCTTCAGTTGGGATCAGCTCAGAGCCAGAAGGGATTTCTTCCGAGGGGAAAGGGTAAGCAGGAGGACCCCAGTGACCCTCATCATGACTCAGACACCTGCAGGCTTCAACACCCTGTAGTTTTTGCCAGTGCTGAGCCCAACTAAGGGAGCTGCCTGTACTCCCTCCAGTAGCCAATGTTGTGTCCCACCCCTGATTGGCTGAGTAGCCATAATACCTCTCCATTTCTGGGGTCTTGCTATTATTTCACCTTACCACCTGAAGCCTGGAACAACCAGCACCCCACTATCTCTAGGCCCAAGTTGGTGGAGAACCACTCCATCTCTGTGAGCTCAAGTCACTGCTGGACCCTACCCCATGCGACCCCTGTTACTGCTGTACCTGATTCTGGGGTCTTAACTGCCACAGCACCCCAACCCACCTCCACTACCAGGGCCTGAGATACTACAGTACCCTTCTTTCCCAGGAACTAGAGTCTTTGCTGTACTATCCCGTACCATGGGACCTAAGTCATCACAGCACCCCTTTATCCCTGGGGCCATACCACTGCTTCACCCTGCCCCTACTGTCTGAGCTACTGCTATATCTTCTTTCTCTGGGCTTAAGATGCACACCCCAAAGTCCCAGATCCCAGCTCTGTAGGTGATCTGCATAAGCCTATGTCTCTTTGAATGCACCAGTATCCCAAGATCCAGGTACCACACATGTTCTGAGCACCTGTTCACCAGAAACCACTGCAGCTTCCTGAAGCCCACACCAGACCCAGCATCAAGAGGGGTGCCCTCAACTAGGACTCTCCCCTGTGAGAAATAGGAGAACAGAAGGACCACAACAACCTTTCCATTGAAGACTCCAACAGCCCACACTGTTATTGTTACCATTATCAATACTGACCTACACCTACAAGGTAGGGGGTGGTGCGGGAATATATAGAGACTACACCTGCACCCCCTCTGGAAACAAAGCCACCACACCCCACCCAGCTTGCAGTCTTGCACTTAGCTGCAGATGAAAATCTATTCCTACCAAAGGCAGTCTCTAAAATTTGAAAGAGGTGACTATTCCATCAAATATGCAGACATCAATGCAAGGCTGTAAGAAGCATTAAAAAAAAAAAACCTGCCACCACAAAAGGAACACAGTAACAAACCCCAAGAAATCAAGATTTACAAATTGCCTGAAAAGAAATTTAAATAATTGTTTAGAAGAAATTCAGCAAGATATAGAGAACACAAATAGATAACTCAATGAAATCAGGAAAAAATATGCAAACAAAACTAAAAATTCAACAAAGAGATAGAAATCCTTTAAAAAGCTGCCAAGCAGAAATCCTGGAGCTGAAGAATACAATGAATGTAATCAGAAATGCAATAGAGAACTTCAACCACAGACTAAAGCAAGCAGAAGAAACTGTGAACTTGAAGACAGATATTTTGAGATTATCTAGTCAGAGGAGATAAAAGAATGAAAAAGATGAAAAGAAATAAAGAAACCCTATGGGATGAAATAAAGAAATAAACCCTAAAGACTTATGGGATGCCCTTATGCAAATAAATATATGCATTATGAGATTCCAAAATAGAGTAGAGAGAGAAGAAGTGAAAGCTTAAGGAAACAAAGGTTGAAAACTTCCCAAATCTTGGGAGAGATATGAAAATCCAGATCTATGAATCCCCAAAGTCCCTAAATAGATTCAGTTCAAAGAGATCTTTACCAAAACACATTACAATAAACTTTTCCAAAGTCAGTGTCAAAGAGAGAATCTTGAAAGTAGCAAGAGAAGCAACATGTCACATACAAGGGAAAGTCTATTAGACTATCATTGGAAATGAGATGGTATGTTTAAAGTGCTGAAAGAAAAAAATACTGCCAAACAAGAACTATATCTGCCAAAGCTGTCTTTCAGAAGCAAAGGAGGAATAAAGACTTTTCCAGAAAAACAAATGCTGAGGAAGTTCATCACCATTGACTTGCCTTAGAAGAAATGCCAGAGAGTTCTTCAAGTGAAAATGAAAGGACGCCAGGCATGGCACTTTGGGAGGCTGAGGCAGGCAGATTACTTGATATCAGGAGTTTGAGACCAGGCGGCCATCATGGCAAAACCCCACCTCTACTAAAACGCAAAAATTAGCCAGGTGTGGTGGTGCATGCCTGTAGTCCCAGCTACTCAGGAGGTTGTGGCAGAAGAATCACTTAAACCTGAGAGGCAGAGGTTGCAGTGAGCTGAGATCATACCACTGCACTCCAGCCTGGGTGACAGAGGAAGNAAAAAAAAAAAAAAAGAAAAACAAGATAGTGGCTATTATTAAATGGACAAGTGCAGTGGCCTACACCTGTAATCCCAGCACTTTGGGAGGCTGAGGTGGGTGGATCACAAGGTCAGGAGTTTGTGACCAACCTGGCCAATGTGGTGAAATCCCATTTCTACTGAAAATACAAAAATTAGCCAGTCATGGTGGCATGTGCCTTTAGTCCCAGCTACTTGGGAGGCTGTGGCAGAAGAATCACTTAAACCTGAGAGACAGAGGTTGCAGTGAGCCGGAATCGTGCTGTTGCACTCCAGCCTGGGCAATAAAAGAAGACTCTCTCTCAAAAAAAAAAAAAATACACACACACACACACACACACACGAAAGGACAGTAATTACTAACATAATAATACATAAAAGTATAAAATTCACTGCTTAAAGTGAACATATAGTTAAATGCAGAATACTATAATATCATAATGGTGGTGTATAAACCACTAATAACTTTGTATAAAGGTTAAAAGACAAAAGTATTACAAATAATGATAGATACAATATTTCCTTAACAGAAATAATATGTTAATTGTGACATCAAAAACACAAATGGGGATGGAGCAAAAATGTACATTTTTTTAATCCAGTTGAAGGTAAGTTGTTATATGTAGGTCAAAGGATACAAAGACATAGTTAGAAGAATGCATAAGTCTAGAGATCTTGTATTGTATAATATTGTATTGTATTATTAATACAATAATATTTTATTATATATTAATATTGTGTTCTGGAAATTTGTTAATGAAGTAGATTTTAGATACTCTTAGCACAAAAAAAGAGTAACTGT